CCACCGCGGCTCTAGGAGGCTCTCCACCGTAAAAGTTGATCCAAGTCCGAGAGTCCCAGATCACGGCTAGGCCAAAAGGGCTGGGCGGTCGGTAAGGGTCAGGGTAGGTCAGCTTGTGGTCGGAGGCTAGGAACTCCGGCTCGAAGAATACCCCTTCCCGGATGTGGCTATGCAAGGCTGAGTGCTGGGCCTGGTCTGAGCTGCTAGAGGCTGGCTCTGGTGCAGGCTGTGTGCTTTGGGCTTGCAGTGGTCGCAGCAGGCGTGGGCTGGGGCTCGCTGGAGGAAGGCTCTTGAGGGGGCGGCGTGCTCAAAAACTGCTTGGGTTCAGCCGTCTCGGCTTTGGGCTTGGGCGGCGGGGACTGCTGCACCTGCGGCATGGCTTTGGTAGGCGGTGACGGGCGGCGGGTCGGCTTTGGCGTGGCATGGGAGCGCTGTCTGGCTGGCTGTGCGGCGCGTTGGGAAAGGAGGGGAAAAAGGCTGGTGGAGGGCTAAGCAGAAAAGAGTCCGCCGGTAGGTAGGCTCCCGCGTTCCTGGCTACGCCTAAGTCTGGGCGCTTAATGAGCTGCCAGAGCTCATGCCGGTTAAGCGGCTTCTGCTGGGCATCGGCATCGAAGAAAAGCAGGGGGAAAGGCTGTTGGTGGGTGGCGGCTGAGACAATGGCTGACATGTCGATGAGTTGCCCCATCATGGAGAAAAGGCCGGCTTGTGGAGTGGAGTGGAAGGGGGCCGTGGATGACGACGGCTCTTCCATGGCTAGGTACTCTTCATCGGCTTCGATAGGCTGTTCCGTGACTGCAGCCGCTTCGGCCTCGGCTGTGGGCACTGACGCGGAGGGCTCGGCCGTAGCGGCTTGGGAAGGCTGTGCTGTGTCGGCGTCATCAAGGTCTTCCACGTCCTGAGGCGGAACGTAGTCAAAACATGCTGGAATAGGGCCTGTGCAACATCCGTCTTGGGCGTGGTAATAGGCTTCCTGGTTCTGGTAGACAAGAAGGCTACGTGGGGAAAGGCTGGAAGGATTATCGCAAGGCCGAGAATCATCATGAACTGCCGCGTCGGCTGCCGTCTGCGCGGAGGCTGCATGCGAGGCTTGCAGCTTGGCTTTGTCCTCCGGGCTCAGCGTCTTCAGCCACTCTGAAAAGGCATCGTGGTCAGACGCCATGGCTTTGGACGATGCTGAAGCTCCCATAGGCACTGTGAACAAGATGCTGAGGGGCAGTGCAAGTGCTCACGCAGGACGGAAGTGATGTGCAGTTGTGCTTTGCTCCCTTCGGTCCTGTACCGTCCAGAGGCTGAAGGGCAGGAGACCTGACAGGGGGCAAGGCGGGCAAGTGACTTGCTTGTGAAAGAGACCGGCTGGCCTGAGGATGGCTGGACCTGAGCCGGAGCAACATGTTAAGCTCTCTTAGGAAAATAAGCGAAGCAAAGGCTCCTAGAGTTTTTTGACCGGCAAGCAAGGCTGTACGTGAGAGGCTAGGCCGGCTAGGCTTCTGGATCACCTTCGGAGTCCACCAAGATTGAAGGGCCGTGATACTGGCAGGCGTCGACGGCTGCTTCGGTGAAATAAACGGCTATAGTGGGGAAGGCTTGCTGAAGTGTCAGAAGAAGGCCGGCAACCCTGGCGTAGGTCTGGTCCAGTCGGATCCTGACGGCGTCTATCTTTGCACTGATAAAGACCCAGGGCGAGAGAAGGCATCGAAGGCGCGCTTGCTCATGAGCGCGTCGGCTATGATGCCACAAGGCCTGTTGCGCCCCACGGCGGTCGGCTTCCAAGATGCCGATACGAGCTTCCAGAGATCTGAGGCGGTCGGCGAGTGACTGCACGGTCGGCTCGTCGGTGGGCTCCTGGCTGAAGTCCTGTGTGGAGGGCTGAGGCTGCAAGGCATCGTAGGCAGAGCTGGTATCAGGGTCGAAGGCTAGGGGGCCCGAAAGGCCCGCATTCATACGGCCCATGGCTGAAAGGTTGGTAACATTGGCAGTCGGCTCGCCCTGAAGAGCAGGGCTATTGGCATAAGAAGGCCAGGGTGAGCGCTGAGCGCGCTGGCCTGGCGGCGGGGCTGCTGGTTCCCCCTCATGCTGTCTCAGCCAATAAGCTAGCAGGGCAGAGTGCAATTGGCCGGGCACGGAGCGATAGTATGAAAAGAACAAGGCCCTGACGCTGCAAAGACCTCTGTCACGTAGAAGCGGAGAAATCTGCAGAGTCAGGCTGGCGGTCGCACGAAGACGAACTGAGGGCAGGTGACTCAGAGGGCAGGGCCGAGGGCTGACAACCTGCAGGCAGACACGTAGGCTTAATCTGGAAGCAAGAAGGACATCGAAAACCTGCTCGGACCAACATCTTGGCACAGGCCCGGATCGGCTTCGGAGGCTGAGGTGCTGGCCTGGGCTCGAAGAAACCTGGAGGGGCCGGACGCAGGAGCAGGGCTAGCTGGAGGAAGGGGCTCATGGCAGGCTTAAGGAAACGGCTGGGCTTGACAGGCTTATGTGTAGGCTTATGGTGGCTGAGGCTGCAACGGCCGGCACGGTGGAGGTACCTGAGGGCTAGCAAGGCGTAGGGCCCCATGTGCCGGGCATGCAAAGGGCGATTTTGCTGAGGGCCCGAAGTGTAAGGCAAAAGGGCAGTGTCATCCTCGGGCCTTGGTTATGCGCTCCGCGACGTAATCATGGCAAGCCTTGTTTAGAAGGCATAAATCCACAACTGCCTGGCGAGAGCTGAGGAAAAGCAAAATATTGGCACAAGGTGCAACGCCGAAGAGAAGGCCTTCAAGGCTCCAGCCAAGAAAAGGCTCACGCAGGTCCTTGGTCGGAAACCAAAGCACCTTGTAGAGAGGTGGCTGAAGGAGCCACAGCAGGGGAACCTTAAAAGGGCTCCAAGGCAGCGGATGACGATATCGCAGTCCTGGCAGGGCTGAATCAAGGCTAGAGTCCTGTGAGCTGGACCTGCCGGAAGGCGGTGGGCTTGGGGGGGCTATCCAAACGCTGCCGGAAGCCTGGCTAGATGCATCCGAGGCTCCGGGCTCGAAATAAGCCGGGGGGAGAAAATGGTAACTCTGGTAACCACCCCCCAAAGGCAGGAAAGCGGGCTGAGGGGGGGCCGGGGCTTGTGGCTTTGCAAAGGCTGGCTGAGCTGACGCTCTGGAGGCACCTGGAAAAGCTCAAACTCCAGCTCCTCAGGCCGAGCCAGGCGGAGCCCGAAGGCTCTGGCGGCATCCGCGGCGTAGGCGTCGGACCTGGGCTGAAGCTAGTCGGTGATGTCCAAATGCGACACCAAGTACTCGTGTGCTTCCTGAGAAAGCAAGGCTAAAGGCAACCAAGAGGGCCCACCTGCAAACAGCAAGATGCGGGGCCCGACTGTACCTGACAGCAGGAGGTCCTGAAGGCAAGGGCTGTTGGGCTGTCCCATGAAACCTGGAAGTGGCAAGGCATCGAGAAGGTCCGGCCAATGCCACTGATAAGGCAAGATTCGCAAAGGCAGAAAATATGGGTCAGGCTGCGGCAAGTCCATGGCTGAGGGCCCGGCGGCTACCTGAGAGGCGAAAGGGCTCAAAAGAGCATTTCAACCATAAGCTGGTGGCACTCATCATTGGCTAGAACCAAGGGGAGCCATTCATGGACTTCCAGGCAAATGAGAATGCGAGGGCAGACAGTCCAGGAAAACAGGAATTCCTGGAGGCAAGGCTCTAAAGGCTGGCCCTCATGCGGCTGCAGGGTGAAGCACTCCCTGAATGTAACAACATACCAGCTCCACTCATGCAAGGCAAGGCGGGCTGGGGCAAAGGCAAAGTCCGGGGGACGAATCCACCGCGGAGGCAAAGGTGAAGGCCTGGGCGAAGGCGGGGCTTGGTCAAGCTCCCACTGAAACATGGCGAGGGGCACAACTACATGCGCCGGCAACATGGCTTCGCTCTAAGGCAGAGACAGGAAAGCTACAAGGCAGTAGCTACGGCTAAATCTCGCTTTTCGAGAAAACTCAAGTGCTAGAGCCAGTGCTGCGATGTGCTATAGATTCACATGCCTTCTAAAACCTACGTGAACAAAAACACGAAACGTGTTTACGGCACTCTCGACGATCGGAGTCGTTCTGAGTCGCACGTCCAAAAGGTGCTTGTGCCGGACATGCAGCAACTTCTTTGAACAAACATTTTATTCTTTAGGTACAATTACACGCTTGTTCTGCTAACTCAGCGTCGCACCCAGCTATCTTTTTCGACGTTTTGCTTGGCTTTTCAGATTGCACGCTCGCGCCAGACTAGCCGCGGCTTGTGAACGTTCGTGTCATGGTCACATGAAGAGGCATGAAGAATCGGCAGATTGGGGATACTGTTGAAAGGTTGAACACTTCACCTAAGCTCGCTGCCGTTAAGCCTGGCGCCGGTGCCACAGGGCCAAAGATTGTTGGGCTTGGTGTACCATCTTGTAAGGTATCGTCCCAAATCCCCCGAGCAGTCATTGAATTGACCTTTGTAGTTGCGATCTCTATGACCATAGACCATAACTCAAGGAGAGTCCTCGGCAGTCATGCACTCAAACCCCACGATGAGATCGTCAGTGAATATGGCTGATAACGCGCAATAAAAAACTGGGGCGTTGGAGGCTGGAATCTGTCTAATGCCATACATTGGCATAGTTAATGTGTATGACCGCTGCCATCACGCTCAAGACCTTAGACCTGAAACTATGAAGCAGAATACCGTTAATGAGGACCCTACCTAAATCACCAGTCCCAAAGCCACCAAGGAAGGAGAGTAAAGTCCCCTGAAACCAACCCCAAAACTTCCAGAAGAAGCCCATCAACCAGAATCTTGGAACCTTACGTGTCTACCCCCAAGCACCCCTGAAGCAAGCAGAGAAGCAACAAGAGGCCTCTCGAAAGCCTAGACGTTAACCTTTTCCAAGCCGGGTTGAGGGTAGTGAAATGTTACATCTCTGAGGCTTGGGGAAACAGAGTCCGTGACCTTCATCCCAAAACCCGACGAGCGCTAATCCTCGGAAGCAAGCCCGGCCTCAGCTGGTCCCCGACCCAAGGAAAGCTCCTCACAGAGGAATTGCCTCGGTCAGGTCACAGCGAAGACTTCCGGGGTCAGGTCTTGGCAGCGGTGTCGGATTTGCAGAGTTTTGTGTATGACGTAAGGCTCGACTTGCTGCGATTGCGCGGCTTGTGGGTGCTGAGGCTTAGGGTTCAGTGTAGCGGAGTGGAGTGGGGTCGAATGGCACGCAGTGGAAGAGAATAGAACAAACCGCGACACGACAAGACGCGCCTCATGTCCAGCCCACCCGGCCGATGCAAGTTTCCGTTCCCGGCAGACCTTGCGACTACAACAGAACAGCCTAGTGGGGTTCCCACTGAAAAACCATCCAAGGATTGAGCCGCGGTGAGTTGAGCGGTGAAGCGGGGGGGAAAGCACGGCCACGAGGAAGTTGGGCTGCGCGGCACCAGCGGAGGGTCCACAGAGACACTCTCCAGGGATCAAGCTCTGACAAAGCCCGGCCACGAAGATGTTCCCTCCAACGAGCATGCCTAAGAGCGTGGTCTAGAAAGATGAACTGCTAGCATCAGTTTAGTCCCACCGAGAAACTCAATTTTCTGGGGATCAAGCCCTGACAACGAAAGAGGCGGAGAAGTTTAGCATAGAACACCAATCGCCATGTGTGTGTGGCCCCGTTCGGAGCCAAGCGAATATGCCCATGCGGGCAGGGGCTGAAGATGGAGGCAGAAAACCTTAAAAACTGCACCGTGTCACACATCGGACTGCAACCTCGACCCACCCGGACCCCAGTCCCAATCAGGTAGCCGGCAAAACGGCGAGCTAGATGGACAGCTTTAGATTCGAGCAGGCTTCGGGTGGGCCCGTGGCGTGGGACTTCAAGGCTCTTAGCATCTTTCTGCTTCAGGGTTCACGATTTAGGACTTCGAGTTTCAAGAATTCTTAAAGCTTTAACGCGTGAAGCTTGGGGGCAATAGCGTGATGCACGCGAAAGCACACAGGAGCCCCAACTGTCTGATACGACCCTGCGAAAAAACGCAAACCCACATTTAGTTAGACACGCAAGCCTGCAAACATCGAGCTGCAGCTTTTTGGGCCGGTTTCATGCATCAGGCAACTAGCTGGGCCTGGAGACCAAGACCTCCCCGGCAGCAGGAGTCCGGAGCCCGAGGTGCCACTGCTTAACGGTTCCAAACACGACCAACATTCGGCGCAAACAACCATCCACATATCTACGACTACATACCTATCGCTCACGTGAACGATCCTAACGCCATGCCTGGGCCCGTAAGCCGAGTGACATTTTCTGATGCATGTCTTCCAGGATGCTCTTCAAGGACGACCCATCGGCATCTAGGCCTCTGGCTGCTTCGAAGGCATAAATAATACTAGGTTTCCGCAACCTGCGGCCATGGATGTTCTCTTCTCAGAAGTGGTTAACCACGGACGTCATTCGGGTTAAGCCATGGATGCTCTTGTCTCAGAACGGAGAGACCGTGGACGACATCACGGTTGGGCCACAAATGCTCTCTTCTCAGACCCTGGACGTCGTCATGGTTGGGCCATGGTTGCTCTGTTCTCAAAACGGAATAGACCATGGATGCTCTCTTCTCGGAACGGATTAGCATGGACGTCATCATGGCTTGGCCATGGATGCTTTTCTGACAAAACGGATTAGACCAAGGACGTCACCATGGTTGGGCCATGGGTGTAAAGGAAACACTGCGTTTCGGTACGGCCAGCACAGGAAGCGCCGTAAATATTGAGGGTTTCGACATGTACTGAAGTCGTGAATTTGGAAGCGCCAGGAACACCGACGGCACCGATATATTCGGCACATGAAATAAGAGAAACACGGTAAAAACAAAACGTTGGAATCGGCATGTCGGTTTTGCCGTCTGCATGAAATTGGAGCCAAGAACAAAAACAACAAACAACAGCCAGCAGACGACAACAAACAAACAGCGAACAAGAACGGAACCAAGAACCAACAACAACGACAACAACAACAACATCGGCCGCAGCAGCAGCAGCAGCGACAGCAGCAGCAGCGACAGCAGCAGCAGCAGCAACGGCAACGGCAACAACAGCTACTACTACTACTGCTACTACTACTACTACTACTACTACTACTATTACTACTACTACTAAGTACTACTACTACTACTACTACTACTACTACTACTACTACTACTAGTAGTACTACTACTACTACTACTACTACTACTACTACTACTACTACTACTACTGCTAAAAGAGGAAAAACACGCGAATAACACTTCGTGACAGGTCAGTCCAACCACAGCCTGAATTCTTCAAGCAGCAGCCAAAACGACAGCAACAGCAGCAGCAGAAGAAGTGCTGCTACCGAAGCAGTGGCCACATGAAAAATGTAATCAAGTTTTCCGGCTGTTACGGCTGAAACTACTAAGAATCATTTGGTTGGTTGCCATGCTAGTGACTCTGCTCTAGATTAAGATATTGAAGGGCATGGCAGTGAACATGGTGCTTGCAACTGGCACCGGCGAGACTTACAGTGATCATGACAATGATGCTGACGCTGACGCTGACGCTGACGCTGACGCTGACGCTGACGCTGACGCTGACGACGACGATAACGATGACGATGAGGATCAGGATGAGCATCAGGATGGGGATGAGGAGAACGATGATGATGATGATGATGACCTTGATGGCAAGCATGAACGAACCCCAATTGCTTCAGCACCATTCAATCCACGAGCTGTCCTCACAACACTCAATCAAAACTCGAAACCTGAACCACGGCGGTATCCTGCACCATCCGCCGTGGGAGCAGTGGCCATGGCAAATGGAAGGGTGCTGGATCCGAGAGGGAACTCAAGGAATGCTTCAAGTCATGGGGCTTAGATGCTCAAGGTCTACCATTAATGATACTGAAAGGTAAGCAGAGGCGCAGATGTCCTGCTCATGTTCTGCATGCACTCGCTCTGCACTAATGTCGTGCTTCATGTCCCTGGGTTCATCAGTCTTGTACTTCTCTGCAGCGGAGATCAGCACATTCAGTCTTATCGACGCCTTGTTTGGCCCATTGGCGGGAGCTACTCCCTGCTGCTAGCCGGAGCATGTTCTTCCGCAGCATGGTCACTCGATGTTTGCTTGGCATACCGGGCATGACTTTAAAGCAAGCACTTTCGAGAAGGCTGCTGCGAAAACAGTGTGAGCTATGCATTGTTGTCCTCGCAAACACTCGCTTCACGGTACCTCTATGTACCTGCACAACTCTATCCACCAGTGTTCTGCATCACAGCAAACCCCAACCATGTTGCTGTCTGTTGTAGAAGCAACAGCTTTGAAGTGGTCCGCAAGTATCCAAAAACCTGGAACAAGCGCACGCTCGCAGCGTCACGTTTTGTAGCTAAACCACCGACACAGCAACTACAAGCCTGCCAGCTCTGGGTTTAGTGTGTTTAGGATTTGCGCAGCCTTGCTCATCTCAGAAAGAAACAGCCCCAAAGCCGGTTGTCTTGCTTTGCTTCGCTACCGCCAATTCGCTGCGCAGACACCGAAGCCTCATCATCTCCCGCAAGACAGACCTGGCAATCGGCAGCAGGCTGGACAAAGAATCAGCGCCATGATACTGCGCCAGAACGTTTGTAACGGCCTTGTCAGCATCTACAAGTTCCGTGCCATGCGGACGTTGCACAGGCAATACTGGTGTTCTCCTACACTTTGTTAAACAACCGTACATCGACTAAGCGAGTCAGTACAGCCCAACCATGCCAACGACTCGATCTGCAGCAGCCTGCTCAGCATCCACAGGTCGTGGACATGCACTCATCTGACTCTTTGTTCAACCGCCACGTTCTCGCTTGCCAGCAATCTCTTCAGCTACCTTAGCGAGCTCACTCTGCCAACGACTCTGCAACAGTCTCACATTCCGCGCCAAGCAGGAGCTTTTGGACTGGAGATGGAACTCATTGACACTTCGCTCTTGCTTGTAGGCTCGTGAGCGACTCAACGGGTCTGTGCTGTGGGCCGCGCTCTGCCAACCACTCTCCAACTCCCCTTTCCTATCATCCGAAACTTCACCATTGCACATGTCAATGATATGACACATGTACGTTGGCTTAACGGACAACAGTGTGCCAACGCTGCTGTGGAACTGCATAACCGCTGAAGATGACTTGCTCAACCAGAAAGGGCGTGTGTTTTCGACCTGCTCCCATGAACTACGCGCAGCTTGGACCTCACATATATGGACAAGCACTGTAAGAGCATCGACACTGGATTGAGGCGGTCATGACCCTCGAAACAAAGCTTGGATATGCGGTCTCCTACCGCGTTGCAAATCGCAGGGAGGTTGCGGTGGTGAATCTGGATGAGGTTGTAGCTTGCGCAAGGCTGTCGGCGACACAAGAAAATCGCAGGCACCCAGTTCTTCTCAAGGTAACGATGGCAAACCGGTCGGAAACGCAGTAATTCCTAGCACCCCGGACCCACCCCCCGGCAACTACACAGATGTTTTCGGCACGCAATCGTGGAAGTGCTGCAATCCAGGACCCGAAATTGCAAACTTGCAGGGTGTGTAAGTCGAAGTGTTCAAACACGTTCACAAGTGCTGCAATCAAGTCTGCGAAATGAAACTGCAGCACTGCTTTAGCATCACTAAACCCCCCGACCAACAGGAGCTGTCGACATTGACAGCAGCCAAGATCGAGCAGTCCCATAAGCGTTAATCACGGCATTCGGGTCGGCGAATGGGCGACCAAAAAGCGTGGAACAGTTTGCCTGGCTCGTTTCTGGTTGGGGGCTTTGGGCTTGAGGTTCAGAGCTGGAGAAATGCACCGTACCTTTCCTCAAGCCCGTGTGACCGAAGGGTGTGCTGTTGCCATGACTCGCTTCTCAATGTCGACTGTTCAGCCCACACTTTGCACCGGCCGCACATCTGGGCCTCGGCAAAGACAAGCAATTAGTGACATCGCGCAGCCCCAAGTTGAAGCTCGGCAGCCCCAGCCGTAAGCTATGCTCTACACTTAGCCGATGTACGAGGCTTTGTGAAACACGGCAACTAGCCTGGACTTGCAGGCTGTGCCCGGAGCCCACACAACAGGTAAGGCTGATCACTCGGTGTCTCGAAAGTTCGCAAGATTGTCCGGCATAGAAACAATGGCACTTGACTAAGCATAGGGCAAGCGGATGTCAGAGTCAAAAAGTTTGCTACACTTGATGCCCAAAAAAATGCCTTTGCTTCTGTTAATCATTGCTATGCGTTTGCGAGCTGTTATGCGTTTGCGAGTGAACCGCGTCAGGATCAGAAAGAATCCGAATGCAGAAAATTAGCCCCACGGAGCGGCAAGGAAGGACACCGACACGGTCGTAAAAGCCAGAACCCGCCTCCTGCAGTCCTCTGCCAGTGCTGCGAAGCTGAAAAGACAGTCACAAAACCCGCCGCAAAGCACTTACGCGAAGCGTAAAGCATGTGCCAGTCATAGCTGCGTACAACAGTCGAAAGCAGTCGCAATCCAGCACAACTTTTCGGATCTTCATTGGCAGGGCCGCACTTTCATTCGATCAGCCGAAACAAGCACCATGGAGTTGCAAGGGCTCAGGACGCGTCATGGAAAGTTTCAAGCATAGATTTCTCAAAGCACAGCAAAGCATTTGTCTCTGCACATTGAGTTTACGTCTTCAAAAACTTTTGCGTGCTGACACAACTGGCACTGTTGGCCGCCTTGGTCTAGAGTCTAGATCTCCGGGCCATCCCAGTACTGCAGGTCCAAGTAGTTCTCTATTTTATTGCAAAGAAGTGTAGTGCAACGCAGTGCAACACTACCACTCTTTTTTTCGCAGAGATTGCTTGGGATGCAGTGCTTAGCGAGGCATTGCTCGCGAGGAGGAAAAGGCAAGCGATGCCGAGCGTTCCCCCTCTTTAGGTGCATCCTGCAATCTCTGCCTGCCAAAAAACCCTCACCGGCGCGAGTTGCAAATGTACCTGGCGGAGCAAGGCAGGAGACTGGAGCGTAAGCCAAAGCAAGCAAGAAAGAAAAGCGTTCCGTCTTTTTCTCTACCTCTGGCATGCTGTGCGTCTTGGAGCAGCTGCGGCCATTCCAAAGAGGATCATGCAGGGTCACGCAATGCGGTGCTGAAGCGAGCTGCGCGAGCGTGATCTCGACTTTATCAGCAGTGCGATGCTGTAAGAAAGCGGTTGAGCCTCTGCTGAGCTTGTCTGCCCAGACGTTCTTCTCACCCGCTAGGTGTTCTACTTCAAACTGCACGCGGTGCAAGTGCGCCCAGGTGGCTGCTAGGCAAATGTCCCAAGGGCTCTGCAGTGCTGAAGAGCTTGTCTTGTTGAGTTCTGGCTCAGCGCCTGTGTTGTTAGAGGCTGTTGGCAACACGAACCGTGCCTCTTTGCTGCGCAGGAGCTTCCAAAGAGCACTGAGCCAGCGCTAGCTGTGCTAGTGCTTCAAAACAGCCGATGCATACGGCTGTAGGCTGCCTTGCAGTTGTGGCATTGCTGCCGAACTTCCTCAGCAGTAAAATCGCACTAAAGCACGAAAAGGAATCAGATGTGCTGAGCCAGCCTCCTATGCCCATGCGACGCATGTCGGCAAAGGCGTCTGCCGCGCTGTAGCAGTGCATGCGAGGCGCCATGCGCAGCGAGTGGGCTGTTCATGCGAGAAGCAGTGCTGACGCCATGCCAAGACGAATTTGCTCTCTTGGCGCAAATGCACTTCGGCGCGATGCGGGTCTGCTAAGCGGACCCATTGGTGCTTGTGCGATGGAGGAACCAAGTGATTTGTGGGTAATTTTGAGGCTTCCCACCTCCAAAAGCTGTGCGTTATGCGTTAAAACCCAAACGCGCCTTGAGGCACACTGCGAGGGTTAGTACAAAAGAGCACAGGTCGACCGACTGACTGTTCAAGACAAGTGAAAACTAGCCCCTACAGCCGTGACAGCAAACAGCACTTTTACACGCTCTTCGCAACCAACTGTTCACCATGCGCTTGTCACGCAGTGCAAGACTTGAGCCAAAGTGACAGAGGGCGCGGCCAAAGACTTCAGCACCACCACTTCCGTGACAAGTCCTAAGAACTCCTAACGGCTTCTCTGCACTGGTAACTCTGTTCCACGGCCCTGGTGTTCCCCGGACTTCGTCTAGAAATCCGAACTCACAGCAAAAGCACTGAAAACACTCTGATATTCATCATGCTTCAGGAACACTTCAGGGAAACACCGTTCTGCGTGAAAACTCGTGAGGAAAAACTCCGGTTGGACACGCTTCTGCAACTAGACACTTTCCAAGTGAGGTGAGACAGGAAGCGTGAGTGCAGCGACCGACAGACAGACAACTTTTCCCTACTCCTACCGTTCACGGCTACACCTAAGGGTCTCTAAAACTCACAAAGGAGAAAAGCAGAAAGTATTCCTGACCTTGGCGAGACACAGGGGCATCATTATAGGATTGAAAATCATTCCGGTGGCGCGAAAAGTCCACGGCCAGAGGCCACTCCAAAGAAACCTAAAAAAAACGTGCACTTAATTAAGGGATGCACAACCCAGTCCTTCACAGACTAGGGGCAGAGGCCTCCTACAAGCGCCAGCACCTCCTGTGCAGGCGAGGAGTGGGTCCCCTCAGCCCTAAGGCAACGACAGCTAACAGCTAACTCTTCCAGGGAGCCTCAGGCTCCACCGCAGTTTAGCTGTATGTGGCAAGGACCTTTAGGGTTTATTTGGGGATAGTGCTTGCTTAACAAACCATGAGACACATATGCACGTAATCCGCACACTCAACTCAGTGTCACATATCCATTCTACAATGCAATGTCATGTTGATTGTGCTCTATAAATCAAAGCCTCTCTGTCCTTCCGTTGCTACACGGCAAGGGTCGCAAGGGTAATCGAAGGAAAGGGCCGTGGGGAAGATGTAGTCAATGTAATCAAAGAAGGGGCCAATGGCACCCGCACCGTTTCATGACCAACTTTGACATCAACAAGCTTGCTCTTATAATACAACGTGGAACCATCCTTCCAAAAGGAAACTCCAGCCTTCTTTGAGAAACGAACTACCGGGTGAAGGGGACATGGCCGTATCCCTTTCAGTACCTTCGTTCTTGCTCTTGTTGTTTCTTCTTCATTTCATCTTTGTCTCTCTCTCTCTCTCCCCGTCTCTCTCTCTCTCTCTCTCTCTCTCTCTCTGTCTCTCTCTCCGTCTCTCTCTCCGTCTCTCTCTCCGTCTCTCTCTCCGTCTCTCTCTCTCCGTCTCTCTCTCTCTCTCTCTCTCTCTCTCTCTGTGTCTCTCTCTCTCTCTCTCTCTCTCTACCTGTCTGTTTCTTGTAAACTAGTGCGAATGTGAAAGTTTAAACCCTTAAACCAGTATCCTTGTTACAGCACGGCGCGAGCTTCGGATTCTTTTCTCACTACTCGCTCTGCTGTCAGGCTGTCTTGAGCCTACGTTTGACCTACGGAGATACGCAGTGAAACTGGCGGTAAATCGGGCATGAGGGAAAATTGAACTTATTTCCAAATTCTGTTTCAGTATGTTCCCACCATATCACCATATATTTCTGGAGCGAAATATATTCGACTCAAATAAGATTCGGAATCACAAAACAATGTATGTGTTGCAAATGAAGATAGAAAGCTCATTCAGATGCGCGGCACACACTCTTTTTTAAAGGTCTGGCGAAAGCCGTCGCTCGGGGAATTCCGAGAAGTCGAGACGAAGTGAGATGGTCCCTCCACCGAGCATCCACGATGCTCTGCAAGATGTACAGCAGTACATCATGCACGGTGCATTCGCAATGCACACATCGGATAGTCAGCAATTGACTCATCCCGGGGAGGGCGGGCGGGACAAAATTTTTCCGACTTGATTCGGAAAGCTGCGAGTTGCTTTCATCATAACATGTTGAAATGATGTTTGTCGCAACAAGCATGTGAGAAATCGTTGGTTCAAAACACGTGTTGCAAAAGAAGAGGGAAACAAAAGGAAAAACTCCCGTTTTTCCTTTCAAACAAAATTTGGAAATAAAACCCTGTCAATCACGATTGAAGGGTGGCTTATTTCCAAATTCTGTTTCAGTATGTTCCCACCATATCACCATATATTTCTGGAGCGAAATATATTCGACTCAAATAAGATTCGGAATCACAAAACAATGTATGTGTTGCAAATGAAGATAGAAAGCTCATTCAGATGCGCGGCACACACTCTTTTTTAAAGGTCTGGCGAAAGCCGTCGCTCGGGGAATTCCGAGAAGTCGAGACGAAGTGAGATGGTCCCTCCACCGAGCATCCACGATGCTCTGCAAGATGTACAGCAGTACATCATGCACGGTGCATTCGCAATGCACACATCGGATAGTCAGCAATTGACTCATCCCCACGGAACCAATGCAGACTTTGCGATGCTCAGCGCATCCACTTCGAATCGCCGACCAAGGCTTTCATCTGTGATTCCTCGCGATGGGTCGTCTGCTATGTTCGACGCGGTATTGACTCTTTCGAACCAAGGTATGCAACATGCTGCGTCGATGGCATCATGAGTGGCATCCACGATACGCATCCCGACGGAGTTGTCGGAGGCTCCTTTGATCATGCAGGCACGAGTGCCTTCGTTGTCCGAGAAAACGACAGTGTTGCATCCTTTAAGGAGTCCTCTCCAAACGTGCATGCACATAAGTACCGCCAAACACTCGCATTCGAAGATGGGGTTCTTGCTTTCGGGACCAACGAGAAGTCGTAGCTCATCAGAGGCCCACTCGCTAAAGTGCCCAACTTTCGTCCCATTGTCTGAGATAAGAACTCCTCCAAGACCGATGCGATCGTTGTCACAAGAAGCATCCACATACACATGCCAAAGATGCAAGACGTTGGCACTCAGAGCCCTCGGGGAGCCTTCAAGAAATCTGTCCCTTAGGAACAGTAGTGCAGCCCTCAAGTTGTCACCGATGCTAGGGCTTCGTTCCGTAAGATGTTTGGACAAGATCTTGAATGCGATGCCAGCTTTCTTCCCAGCAACCTGATTGGCGGCGAATTGTAGGCGGCCCCTCAGCTTCTGGCAGTCTTTCCTAGCCAGCGTCCCTTTTTCGATGACAGAAGAAAGACTCTCCCTCAGCTCCTCGCGCCGAGCCGTCGTGTTTCTCATGTAGAAGTTGCCGAGGTAGGATTCACGCAAGTCAAACTCCAGGCCTAAGACTTTTGCCACGCTTCCGAAGATGGTAGGCTTGTCTGGAGACGTGTCCCAGCCAAGGATCTGAAAGAGCGATTCAGCGCAAAGGTCAAAGAGCCGTGTAAGTGGCGGGACTTCATTGCCGACAAAGTCGTCGTAATATACCGACCACATCAAAGCCAGCTGAATCGCCCCAATCGTCCAGATGCCAAGCGAAGTTCTGCAGAACGAGTGGACCGACGCACGAGCGCCGAAGGGCAACACGCACTGCTCGTAGATCTCTGCCTTCCCTGACCGGGGGTTGTACACTGAGAGATAAGCTTCTTCCACCGCCGAAGTGCTCAAGGGAAGATTCTTATACGCCTTGTGTAGGTCATAAGATTTCATCTCAAGCCCGCCGTGTCGTCGGCACTTTGGGTCGCGCTTAAGACGGTAAGCAATGGAAGCGGCGATTGCATCCGCCGTGTGCACAGTCACCGAGTCTTCGGCTGAAGTCGTCGAGTTAACCCCAGAGGCCTTGAAGTCATCTATAGGTCTACACTTGCCGCCCTGCCAAACGCCGAAGCGGCGCGAGAGAACAGCATTGGGACCTAGCGACGCAGGATCGATAGGTCCTCGCAACCACCCCTTGGCGACCTCCTTGTCAGTGGCCGCCATGAGGGCCTCATCAAGCTCTGCGTCCCCGGAACTTTTGGTGGCGAGAAGAGTTGCTTCTCTCATCACAGCCGCGGAGCTCCGGAGGTCTGAGACAGATAACGAAGCGGGTGACAACTTGGGGCGGTATGCTGGATTCCTCGGGATCGCACCACTGAGGTCAAAACCCTTGGCAATGTCATTCGCTATCTCTAGGTCTTCGTGGCCACACTCCTCGAGCATGGTCCTAAAAAGGACCAGCCGCTTCCGACCCAGGACACGTTTGCAATGTTGAGGCATCGAGTCACGCAGCTCCTCTTCCTCGGCTTCCAACTCACGGGCCTTGCTGATCCAATGCCGGAGCCTCTCGGTGCGTTGGGCTCCTATCTCGTGGAGCGACATGTCAGCTAGGCGGTCGATGGCCGTCTTGGAATGCGATGGCACACCGTCCATGAGGTGACGGGGGTGCCCAGCTTTCAGCGCTTGCTCGATGAACTCCTGAGGTTTCCAAGGGATGCCCACGGCCACCTTGTGCATTCGGTCACCTTCTGGCATGCTGCGGGACGGAATCCCAGGTGGTGGCCTAGTCGAGGAGCTGGGGCCTAAACCAGACTTACGGGTGGCTGCCACGGGACCGGCTGTTGGGCAGCACTTTGGGGAGCACCCAGGGAGGCTGAAACCAAGGTCAACAAGTCGTGTCTTCTGATCGTCAAGAAGTTTGTGGTGATCACGTATCGTATAGGCAACAAGCGTGATCCTTAGGGCCCCCACACCAAGGAGCTTGACAATGTCTACCACTCGGATCAAAGATTATCCTTCGGCCCTCAAAGTCAAGAACATTTCCCAAAAGCTCGGGGTGGCCAGGATCAGGACAAGCGACGGAGCCGCGAGGTGATTCGATCCACACTCCCCCTTGCTCGAAGGAGGAAATCTTCAAAACTGCATTCGGCAGTCCTGGCTCATTGTTTCTATCGGCATGCACCTTGCCTGCGAGGTTCTTGCCCAGCATCAAGGAGGTGAAAGGGTGGCCCGGGGCAACCCGGCGCACATACTCGCACAAGAGTTTGCTCACACTGGGGTGCGATGATGTATTGGAACGCAGGCCCACCTTGTTGGCATGAAAGAAAGCTCCGCACGACCAAGAGAATTCGTCAGTGCCTCGTCCGCCCCTAGACGGTGGATCCGAGACAAGTAAATCACACAAGTGGCAAATGCAGTCACGCCATGCTTCGTCGCTGGCTGACACTCCCAAGTGGAGAGCATAATGCGAGAAAGCTTCGGGGTCCATCTGGTCGTCCTCCATGGTGGCTAAGTTTCCATCGTCCTCCGCCTCGGCATTCGGGACAACTGTGGGATTCGGCACAGGTGTGGACAAGGCGGCTGAGTCACTCGAGCACGATCTCTGCACTCCAGCTGGCACAACCCCAATGACACTCTGGCGCAGGATCCGAGTGCCCGCGGGAAGCGTCGGCAGCGGGGGCGAGCATGAGACACAAGGTGGAAGGGGGGTATCGGCTTCCAGCTTACGCACGCCGGGAAAGAGGGGTTCGGGACTAAAAAGAACCACAATCTGCCGGAACTCGGGCACTAGGGGTGGCACACGCTTGCCGCGAGGTTGCACACCAGCTGCAACCTGAGACTCACGCAGGGGAAGGGCAGCACCAGGCGCAAGGCATGAAGCGGGTGCAGTGTGGCCACGTTCGGCGGCAGCACGGACAATGACGTCGGCCATACGTTGGCAGAGCACACGAGGGTAGACCTTCTCGGCCGCTGTGTCGAAGGCACCTGAGGATCGCGACCAGGGCAAGTGGCGATGAGATGTTGATTCCCCCGGGCAGAGAAGGGACAGCTCGTGTAGCAAAGGAACATTATGGGCTAGGCGGGTGAGCTTGGCACGCTCGCCGCCGTGTTGGCAGTTATGAAAAAGGGGTTGGCAGTTATGAAAAAGGGTTTCCTCAAACTGCAGGTCGGCAACGGCAGTGAGCCACATGGTCGTTTGCCAGAAGTAAGAGCGGCCTGGATTCTCACAAGAAACGAGCTTCCCAGTACGAATGCAGTGTGCAAAGATCTTGCCAGTGACGGCATAAAGATCGTTGGCCTTAGCAACGCGAACGCGGAGCTCGCCAGTGAGGTTTGGCAGCCCATCCGGGTGGGCGTCACTTCTTGCGGGAGCAGGTAGGCTTTCACCGCGACGGAAAATTTCACGAGCACGACTCGCTGTTCCACAAGGGGGAGCGATGTGGACATAAAGGCAAAAGGGAGAATCGATCAGATCAAGAACCATCTTTACATGTTCGGGATCAAGGAGGTCCAGCTTAAGGACGGGAGAAATCATTTGCTTTGGGGCAACATGGTCGATTCCGATGCTATCTCGGAACCCCGCACGCCGAAGTTCAGCAGTAAGCCTGCCTGAGCCTGAGAAAATTTCAATGCAAAAGAGGGAATCAATCCTGAAAGCATCAGCGCCGCAAAGAGAGTGTCCGGCATCAAGTAGCGGCCCCTCCACAGGGCTCACAGCCTCAGCAGGACTCGAAGGAAAACAATGTGATTTGCTGGGTGCAGCGGCTGATGCTTGCGGGGTTGAGGCGCTCAGTGAAGCATCCAATGAAACACTGGGCGATGGAAAACACGGTGGTGGCACGCTGTCGGGCTCAGGCAGGCATGCACTTCATGGCTTCTTTGGACACGCATGCGCAGGGTGGTGACCGCCACAACGCATGCAGTTGTGCAGGCCCCTGGGGCAGGATTGGCCGACCTTGGCAATATTGAATCCCCAGCAGCGGCGCTTTCCGGTCTTAGTCCAAGACGAAAGGCCCTTGAGTTCTTCTGGGAGATTGCTGGGCTCACGCAATGTCTTGGTCTTGCCTTTTCCAGTACCTTTGCGCTGCTTTTTGGTCGGGGTGTCTGTGAGGTCAGGCTTGATCTCGTTGTTTTCTCGTTTGAGGGCTCCACCTTCCCGCGGGAGGAGATGAAAAATTACCTTCGGGTCAGTCTGCAAGCGGGCCCACAAACTGTCAAGAGGCAAAGCCCCGGCTGCATCTCGACGAATCCCGTCGGGGGTGAGCTCTGCCAGGCGCATCCAGGCAGCACGGTCCGCATGCAGAATTTGTTGCACAGAGGTGGCACGGCTACCAGCAATGGGCTCCTGATGAAGGTGGCCCAAGAGGAAATCCACGAAGCCCTGAACCCGAAAGTAATCAGTTACACCGATCTTATTTCCCAACGAAACTTCCGTTTGCGCGCGTAACGGGAAACCCTTAACCGCGCTGCAGTTAAACCCTGTGCAAGCACTCTCTTTTTTTCTCCTAGCGGACATGGGGGGTCAGTTCGGGCCCGATCTTCGGGCACTGAAACGAAGGATGCCGCTGGCATCTGTCTGAAAAGAACGACCGCTGGTCGCAGGTAAGGCGAACGACTGGTTCACCCCCCTCCTGCCCCCTACCAGGGGTGTCTCAGTACTACTGGAGACAAAGGTGAAACTTTCTTCGACCCACAGGGTCGCTGCAGTCTACTACTAGCTACTCTGCGTTGTTGACGGCCTACGGCCTATGTACAGCAAAGCACGCTGTGCTGAAGATGAGATCTCTGCTAGAGATAGAACAAGGAGCGCTGCTCCGGCAGCTCTGCTGCCACAAGCGTGGTCCCAGACCCCGCATACTATACAGGGTGTGGTGGGTGGGATAAAAACTTTTGGATCACAGATCCACTTCAAGCCGAAAGCTGCACGGCAAAGTTTGTCTAGTGTTCACAACACACAAGTGAAAACACTGTTTTCCTTTTACGACAAAACTTTGTCTACACTTTCGGCGGGAAATAAAACCCATTCACGCACGCATGATGGAAGCTTATTTCCCAACGAAACTTCCGTTTGCGCGCGTAACGGGAAACCCTTAACCGCGCTGCAGTTAAACCCTGTGCAAGCACTCTCTTTTTTTCTCCTAGCGGACATGGGGGGTCAGTTCGGGCCCGATCTTCGGGCACTGAAACGAAGGATGCCGCTGGCATCTGTCTGAAAAGAACGACCGCTGGTCGCAGGTAAGGCGAACGACTGGTTCACCCCCCTTCAAGGCACTCGAAGCCTTACTCACCCCCCATCTAGTCCGCGCCGAGTGACAAGGCCAACAGCACTGCGTTGGGAGGAAGGAATTAGCGCTCTGCGCCAAGTTTCTCAGTCTCTTCCCACCAGTCTCTGCTGGGGCCATCAGTAATGTTGCTGACGGTGGGCACGCGGAAGAAAGCAGCCCTGCACTGCAGGGACTCCTCCACGTCGACTGCCTGCGATACTATCGCGGCGCCTGCCGCCTTCCTTGTGAAGGCTTTGTGTAGGGATGTACGCGCTGCGTCATTGTCAATCCACACGAACAGGTCACTGCCTGCTATGTGCTTCGCCCACAACTGTAGGCTCAGCAAGTATGGCAGCAGCTCGCACTCGAAACGAGCTGTTGCTTCTGAGCTCTAGCGACCCACTGGGTCGCTACGTGGCGGCTAATCTGTAGCCCCCAGGGTGCTTGCGATTCCCTTGCCTATGGGCACTGCTCCAAGGCCGCACTTGGGGAACAGACGTGGGGATTCACACGACGTTTATGCCTGCAAAAGAGCAAGGGAGAGGGCCCTTAGCAACCCGCAGTGGCCCTTACGGACTCGCAGCGGGCTTGTACAACAAAAAATCGGCCATTTGCAGGCAATTTAAGGACTAAAAGTACCTGCTCGCACTGTGAGACAGGTGCTGGAGAAAGGAGTCTGCACTTGTGCCTCCACTGCAGCAGCGGGCACGAACGGGTGATACAAGCCCCTTATTTTCCAACGAAACTTCCGTTAGCGCGCGTTTGGGAAACCCTAACTGCGCTGCAGAGGAACCCTGTGCAAAGCACTCTCTCTTTTTTCTCCTAGCGGACATGGGGGGTCAGTTCGGGCCCGATCTTCGGGCACTGAAGAACAATGCCACTGGCATATTGAAGGGAAAACTCGACCGCTGGTCGATGGTAAGGCGAACGACTGGTTCACCCCCTTTTGGGACCCCTACAAGGGACCAACCCGTACAACGGGAGAGTAAGGTGAAACGTGCTTTGACCTACTGGGTCACTGCAGCTACCAGTTGCTACGCTGTATTCTTGACGGCCTACGGCCTATGTACAAAGATGCAGTCTGTGCTGACGCATCTCTGCTAGAGATAGCATAGGAGCGCTGCTCCTGGCAGCTCTGCTGCCTGTGCGGTGTCCCAGACCCGCATACTATACAGGGCGTGGTGGGTGGGATAAAAACTTTTTGGATCACAGATCCAACTTCAAGCCGAAAGCTGCACGGCAAAGATTGTCTAGTGTCACTCACACACAAGTGAAAACACTGTTTTCCTTTTTCGACAAACTTTGTCTACACTTTCGGCGGAAAATAAAACCCATTCACGCACGCATGATGGATGCTTATTTTCCAACGAAACTTCCGTTAGCGCGCGTTTGGGAAACCCTAACTGCGCTGCAGAGGAACCCTGTGCAAAGCACTCTCTCTTTTTTCTCCTAGCGGACATGGGGGGTCAGTTCGGGCCCGATCTTCGGGCACTGAAGAACAATGCCACTGGCATATTGAAGGGAAAACTCGACCGCTGGTCGATGGTAAGGCGAACGACTGGTTCACCCCCCTTGAAGCCTTACTCACCCCCCATTCAGTCCGCGTCGAGTGACAAAGCCAACGGCACTGCGTTAGGCGGTAGGTACTGGCGCGCTGCGCCTAACCTTTGAGTCCTGTCCCACCAGTCTCTGCTGGGGCCAGGAGCGATGTTGTTGGTGGTTGCGATCGGAAGGGAGCGGCCCTGCACTGCAGGAACTCTGGAAGAAGCGAGCCTGTGCGAGGTCTTCACTGCGCCTTCGAACTACTGTCTGAAGGCCTTGCGCAAGGAGGGACGCGCTGCGTCGTTGTTAGCCCGGACGGACAGGTCACTGCCTGTAGGTCCTTTGCCCACAGCCGAGGGCCGAAAATGAAGAAAGTAGGGCGACAGCTCGCACTCGTGTACCAACTGCTTGTACAGTGCCCTGACAACCCGCTGGGCTGCCTCTGGGTTGCTGATTTGCAATCCCCGGGCGAGGCGATGCATTCGTCAACGAGCGCTGCTCGAAGGCTACACTCGGGCACTAGTCACGGGGTCTGACACTCGCAGGCCGCGTCAATGCGCAGGCGTACCTTCCTGCGCGCATGGAGGGACGCTGTCCTACTAAGCGGTCCGGGCACGACCCGTTGCGGAAGGAACGCCATGGCTTGGCACTGCTGCTCGGTGAAGGGGACTTGAGCTGGTCCATCCTGAAGGACCGAACCGTCGCGGATCAGCGTCAGGCTGGTGTGACAGCCCGGAGCTTGCCGCTCGGCGAGGAGAAGCCTGCCGCGCAGGCTCTACCATTGCAGCAGGGGCATGCTGCCGGGCGTTGGACCTCGCTGAGGACAATGCCCAGATGCTGTGAACGTGTCGGCGAGCTGTCGACCGAGGGCTGGCCGTTTTGAAAATGTCGACGAGCACGCTGTGCGCGTGGAAACCTCGCTGAAGTCGGAGTTTAAGGTGCTTTGCGGACACTTGCCAGCCCAGATTGCGAAAGGGATCGGAAACTGCCAATGCGGCAAGCTTCGTGCGCGCGCTGCGCGTGGGAAACGTGAGTCAAGAAAGAAGCTCGTCATCACCAAAGCAAGCTTCTCTCGACTGATTGCTTGCAACGCTGCACTGTAGCGCAGACGGGCCCGCACATCGGCCGCTGCGCCAGAGAGCATGCAGTTAGGTGGGCAATTGGTTGTCCCACTCTGAGGGTCCACTATCGCGATGCCCGCAAAATGCTTGTTGGTGGTTTGCGGTGGAAGATGCTTGCAGGAACGCAGGAGATCACGGGTCCTAGGGATTGTGGGGTGAGCCTGCTCTGCAAGCCCCTAACGTAGCTACTCCGGGCATGCCGCAAGGGGCTCGTCGATGCTATCGACCTGCGCTTTCAGTGTGATGCGGCATCGGCTGTTCATGAAGCTGCTTCGAAAGCGGTCTGTATGCTGCACCTGGCCTGCAGGCACAACACCACAGAAGACGATGCTATCGTCTTGTGTAGCTGGCTGGCGGAAACTGTATCAGAGAGGGCCAGCACTGCTGACTTTCCTCCATCGTACTTTCTCAGGCCGTATGTGAGACACCGTCTCGCGGAGGGCAGAACGCGCTGTGCGCGCCCCGCATGCTTGTACCATAGCTGCTTCTTATTTGCAGAATGGACTTCTCGACTAGAGAAGGAGGGCAGGAACAGCAGAGGCCACAGCCCGCTGGGCCGTGTCCACCGAAGAGGGGGAAAGTGGGAGCCCGGATTGGCCTGCGAAGTTTGCACACACAAGCTTTCCCAAAGCCAGTGTTTGCTTGGGCTGATTGACGCTGTTTGCCTGAGCGTGATGCGCGGCCCGCGGCCTGCCAAGAAGGCTTTGCAATCTGTGCAATTCTTTGCGGAAGTGCTTTGCAGACCCGTTTCGAGGGCTGCGCAGAGATCTCGATGGTTGCTGTCTCTGTGGCGTCGATCCACTGAATCAGCCCAGAATCCGTTGGGAAGCAGAACCACTACTGTGGTAGCTTCTTTAGTATTTTCCAGCCTCGAAAGGCCCCGCGCTGCGGGGCCGTGTCGGGTGACTTGGTCACGGAGTCCGACCGGGACGAGGCGCCGCGGGCGCTAGCGGCTGAGAGGCGCTGCCTCAGGGTCGCCGCACATTTCTGGCGTAAGGGAAGCCAGGCAGAGGTCGGCAGAGTGATATATCATGTCCGGCGATATGGGCCACACTGTGGGACCAGCCGTGAAACACGGCCCCACGGCCGGGACTGCGGCTCGCACTCATCACAGATTGTGCCAAGGCTTGAAAAACGGGCGAGGCCCTGAGCGATGGCCGCGCGCGTGCGAAACGTGCTGTTAGCATGAAGGCGGCGAACTCCATTTTGTGAGGTGACCGCCACGCTTCTCGGAGGCAGAGCTCTGTCAGGTTCGAGTTCGAGCTGGATTCTCCATGGACCAGCTAACATCTCGCTGAGACAAGCTGTGGGAAAACTCAGCGGTGCAAGCTGCGAGGGGGTTCGCGCTGCGAACTCGAGCCTGCGCTTGAACTCGCGGGCACGGAAGGCCCGCTGAGCCAGACTCGCTGTGTAGCGCCCCCTGCACGCTCGGCCCCAGATTCACTCTAGCTCTGCTAAAGGTGCCGCACGACGGGGCCCAGTGGACCCATCTGGGAACTTGATGGGATATCGCCGCTGGCTGCGGGCTGCTAGTTGTCCATGGGCAGAGGAGCGGCTGCAATACCGTCAGGCCGCTGGCCCTGGACTTCGAATCTACTGCGACGTTGGAGAAAACCTCCTCGCCGGCCGGTTTACTAAAGCGGCTGGGGCCGCAGAAGGCCTCCAGTGAGAGTGGTGGATGGGGGCTCGGTCGCTGAGCGAGCTTGGGAGGTGGGGGGCCGAGAACGGGGTCAGCAGGCGCACGTTGCTGTTCAAGCAGCAACGGCGGCGGGGGGGCTTGGCTCGCCTAGACTATGGCTGGGGTCGGCGGCGCTGCTGCCGAACTCGCTGGCGGACTCATTGCAGGGGTTTGGCACGGCTTTGCCGACTGGCGCGGCTCACGGCGCTGCCCGGCTAGTTATTTTTGAAGAGGTTTGTCGTGCACAGGTGAAGTGCCAGCTTGAGGCTCGCTAGCCGAAGGGTCCTGCGGTTCTACCGCGCTTGGAAGAAGAGGGCCCCTGGCCCGAGCAGATCCTGCATCTTTGGGGCAGTCGGCTGCGCTGCGCACGGAGCTGCCACAGCTCGCGCACTCTGGCAATTTCTGGACACTCTGCCCGGCGAGGCAGTGGTCTTATCAGTGATATCAACCATCACGTGCTGCTTGAGGTGCTGCGGTATTCCTTTCAGCAGTGTACCGATCTTCAAGTTTTCATCATACTTCTGGCCTGAGAGCTTTTCGTACTCTGCTGTGAGCTTTTCGTATGTCAGGACGTAGTCCATCAACGATGCTCCTTTGCTCATGGCTGGGAATCCAACCAATGCCTGAGCCATTGCTAGACTCCTTGAACGAGATGTCGGCTCTAATTCAGCCGTCAACTTTCTCCACACTTCAAATCCATTCATCCCGCTCACGCTTCTCAGCACTTTCAGAGGTCTGTTTCTCAAGTAACTGCTTAACACTGAGTAAAGCTTCGTTCCTCTGTTCACTCTTCCTTGATCATTGTTGAAGAATGCATTTGTCACCTCCATTCCTATCACAGCCTTTCGTTCTTCTGCCGACTTCAGGTCCTTCAGGAATTCTTGGTCCATGAACGCTAAGAAGTTCTTGAACGTAAATGACCAGTCACTCCATTGTGACACTTCTTCTTCAATCGTAGCTGGATTAAACGATTCCGGTGGCTTGAGGATCTTACCTCCAGTATCAAAACTTACTGAGGCTGGCTGGCCTCCCGTAGGGGCTGCCTTCGGTGATGCTTGGGCTTTCGCCAGTGCATCCATTGCTGTCGACAATTGCGCTTGCTGCATTGCCGTTCCTTGTGCAACTCTTGCCATAGCTTCTGTAGCTTGGCCTAGTGTAGTCATCAGCTGTTCCAACCTCACCTGCTGGGGGTTCGGCTGGTGCTGTGCTTGTTGAGCTTGTTGTTGCTCTTGCATCTTTTCAACACTTTGGCAGGTCCTTGTATATCTGGCCCAAGGTCTTCACTTCCACGCTTTTCTTCGACTTTGCAAGGTGCTCTTGGCTTAGCCGTAACTCCTCGCTGTTCTCCGACAGGATGCTCTTGGTAAACCGTAACTTCCTGTTCCACACTTTCCACCTTTTCCAGCTCGTGGCTGGCTTCCCTGGATCTTTGCTTGATCAGCTGCTGGCCTTTGCCAACAGCTCCGCTACCATGAAAGTTTAAACCCTTAAACCAGTATCCTTGTTACAGCACGGCGCGAGCTTCGGATTCTTTTCTCACTACTCGCTCTGCTGTCAGGCTGTCTTGAGCCTACGTTTGACCTACGGAGATACGCAGTGAAACTGGCGGTAAATCGGGCATGAGGGACAATTGAACATTCTGTTAGAATGGAAGGCGAACGGGCAGAGGAAAGAGATTTCAAAAAATTCGGCTAGGCTGCTTTGCTGCATTGAACTCACACGGAAGATGCAAAAAAGATCGAACACAGTGGCTACTTAGAAGGAGCGATGGGGAAGATGCAATCAGAGTGGTGGCCAAGCCCGCCCGTGCAGTTCCGTCACCAACGTTGGCATCAGCAAGCTGGCTCTGACAATACAAAGTGGAACTATCCTTCTAGGACGAAACTCTCCCCTTCTTTGAGAAACCAATTGCAAAGTGAAGGGGGGATGTGCGTGTGCCTCATCGTACCTTCGTTCTTACTTTTCTCGCTCCTTCTTTGTTTCATCTCTCTCTCTCTCTCTCTCTCTCTCTCTCTCTCTCTCTCTCTCTCTGTGTCTGTCTCTGTTACCTCGATGTTTCTGGTTAACCAGTGCTAATGTAAGGCACCTGGAAAGCGGAAGCAAGATAAGATGTAGTCAAAGTGGGGGCCAATGGCACCCATACCGTTTCATCAGCAATGTTGACATCGGCAAGCTTGCTCTTATAATACAAAGTGGAACTATCCTTCCAAGAGGAAACTCCCCCCTTCTTTGAACAACGATACCGGGTGAAGGGGAGATGGCCGTCCCTTTCAGCATCTTCGTTCTTGCTTTTTTGTTTCTTGTTCTGCATGCTCAAACTCTGCTGTACCAAAAGAGCAGGCACCGTCCTATGCCTGGCACTCTCTTTTGCGCTGCAACGGGCAACAGAGCGGTTAGCCGAAGGTGTTGTTCGTTTAAAGTCGAACTCGCCTTTGTCGGGGCGTGGTTCATGGACCTGCAAGAACCTCAAGGTGATCTACTGCCCCTGAGCCTGGTCCAGGCGATCACCGCCCTTTGTTTACTTTCCAGGACTTCCTCATGGTCAGCACTACAGGGCAGGCGAAGGACCCCGCCCAGGTCGCACCGACCTGTTTCCGGACCCATCCGTCAATGCTTGCCTCAACTCACAAACAAACTCACAAAAACCAAGGGCGGATCGCCAAACCGCCCGCTGTGCATCGGAGCCTCAGGCTCCCATTCTGGCGGAACGCCTGTGCACAGGGCTTACTCCCAAAGAGCTCTTCCAGAGCTTTAAGGCAACACCCATCGACTGCAGATCTTCTTGCTGAATCATCAGCAGGTAGCGTCAACCTGGGCGGTATCGCCTGCTTCTTCCCCTCTCTCAGACGTCGAAGGTGCCGCGGGGTGAACTTCGCTCCGTGTTCTTCTGGCTGATCAGCGGAAGGGGGTGGAAGATCTGGCCGCCCGGCAGCTGCTGGCGGTGCGCCCTCATCCGGCGGGACTGCAGGCTCATCACCCAGAATCCGCATAGCCCACCATCCCATGACATTCTGGCCTGGTTCGCTTCTGCATAGGTTTCCGCCAGCGGAAGCTGATGAAGTGGGCCGGATAAATGCATGGCAGTCGGGTTTTCGTGCTGTGTCGTAGGGAACCGAACTCCTGCATGGCATACACTGCAATATTTAGGCGGCAGAGGCTTTTCCAATGCCCGAAGGGAGCGAACCGCCCCGACAAAGGCGAGTTCGACTTTGAACGAACAACATCTTGCTAACCGCTGCCCGTTGCAGCACAAAAGAGAGTGCCATGCATAGGACGGTGCCTGCTCTTTTGGTACAGCAGAGTTTCAGAACTTGCTCGTTGGCGATAAATAGAGTTCTGCTAGCGAATGAGTCTCAAGACTTTCGGCTCAGTTGAAGTTTGGCCCTCCCACCCTCCCTGGTCTTCGGGCCTTGGAGTGGCGGCAGAGGCTTTTCCCAATGCCCGAGGGAGCGAACCTGGCAACATGCATCCGGGACATGTAGCCCTTGCGGCGCGCCCAATGCAAGATGTCCTGTGCGATCCGCCAGATAACGATCACCCACGCGCCTCCGTGTAGGCCGCACAAAGCCCGGCCGGCACGTGACCACGTGTTGGAAGAGAGTCCAGGGGAAAACCAACCTGCGAGTCTCATCCAGCGCCCGCACTGTAAACCACAAGGCCTCTCCATTAGGCGCCACTCTGGCCATGGGTCGGTCCTCTGCCTTCTTGGAAGCTGGTCCGTGGGGCGGATCTGCCCAGGGGCGTAGCTCTTAGGCGCGGCCGGGGTGTGGTAGAGGTCCATCGGGCGGTGCACCCATGCCTTTACCCTTTCCCATGCCTCTCTTACTCCAGGAGATCATAACACAAGTGTTTCAGCACCCTTCCGGAGTAAAACCCAGCGGCGAAATTCAACAGCCCATGGAGGACCTGTATCCTCTCTCTGGGGAGGGTGTTCCAGCACTTCTGTGATAGCTACAAGCCGTAGTTCGAGACATAGGTCAGAATTCGATACTTTGGAGCACTGTCGATTCGCGGGCCTACGGCCCACAGCTCTGACGATCTTAGGGGCTCTAAAGTCTTTGCAAAACGGGCTTTAGAGGAACTTTAAGGGCGCGCCACTTGCCAGCAGCTGACGAGCACTCGCCAGCAGCTTACGAGCTACTTACGAGCACTCGCCAGAGCGACTTTCGAACCGCAACACAGCGACTTTCGAACCGCAACACAGCGACTTAAGAGCTGCAGCCCAACAGCTTACGAGCTACTTGCTGGCAACTTACGAGCACTCGCCAGCAGCTCACAAGCGACTTTCGAACCGCAACACAGCGACTGTTGAACCGCAACACAGCAGCTTTCGAACCGCAACACAGCAGCACACGAGCTGCTCGCCAGCAGCTCACGAGCTGCTCGCCAGCAGCTCACGAGCGACTTTCGAGCCGCAAACCAGCAGCGCTCGAGCTGCTCCCACGCCCTCCGCGCCAACAGAGCGCGCGTAAGCGCGCGTCGCTCCCCAAACAGCTCCGGAGCACGACGGCGCGCCTCCAAACAGCTCGCGAACCCTCCGCGAGCCCTCGAACTGCTTCCGATGCCCCGCGTACGCGTTTTGCAAGCACTGTAGAGCCCCTAAGATCGCGAGCCCTACGGCCTCCAGCCCTCAAAAATCGACAGACCCTCCGAGTATCGAATTCTACCCTATGTCTCGAAACTAGCCTCGTAGCTACTACAGAGTGGAGTGCTGGAACACCCTCCCCAGAGAGAGCGAAAAGCGCTTTTCTCTGCCTCTTACCGACAAGCTTTCCGAAATGACAAGAATGACAAGCTCCTGCCTGCCCGGCAAAAAATAATTAAATAATTAATTAGCTCGTCTGGGTAGAGGCCAAAGGAATGACAAGAATGACAGGAATGACAAGCTCCAGCCGGCCGAAAAAAATAATTAATTATTTAATTAATTAATCAATTATTAATTCTGGAAGTGAATTACTTCTTCGAAGTAGAAGACTTCTGACTTGGATGTAATTTACTTCCAGAATTAATTAATTAATTAATTAATTAATTAATTAATTAATTAATTAATTAATGAATTATTTTTTCGGCCGGCTGGAGCTTGTCATTCTTGTCATTCCTGTCATTTAGAGATGCTGGTCGGTAAGGTTCGTGCCGAAAAAAAGCCGAGTCCGCCGCCGTCTATCCTACCTTATTCTATCCTAGTGGGGCACGCTGAGCTCGGGCCGATGATCCACCCTTGTGGGGAGAGGCTCTAGGTTGTGGCACGGCGGTCCCAGCGAGTGGAGGTGGTGCCTGACTGTTCAAAGCTCAATTGGCGGGTCATCAGTAACCGCCAGCCACCGATGAAGCTCGCGCCGGTCCGTGGGGCACCGGGGAGAATGGGGCGCCTCCGAAGCCTCACCGCCCCCGCCAGGCCCCTGTGCCTGGGCGGGATACCCTCTCAGTCCCCTCTTCATGGGGCTGTGGGGGAACGGAATGCTGCCCGTTTTCTTTGCAGCATCTGTCGCCCCCAGTCGGGGCGTGTGGGGAACGAAATGCTGCCCTTTTTTTTGCAGCTTTTTCGACGAAAAAGTCAAGTGTCGGGAATATCGACCCTGCTCCCGACACTCACATTCAAGCCATTTGTTCATCAAAAACTGGCCGGTGACACAATTCATCAGATTTGATGAATGCTGGCACCGCCACATGCCTCCGCCTCAAAGGCTCGCTACTTTCGATCAAAAAACGGGCCGGTGGCGCAACTCGACAAATCTGTCGAATGCTGCCACCGCCACATGCCACCCCCCACAAAAAACCGCGCTCAATTTCATCAAAAACGGGCCACTGCCACAACTCACCAGCTTTGGTGAATGCTGACAGTGCCACAAACCGTGCTCAATTTGATCAAAAACGAGCCACTGTCGCAACTCATCAGATCTGACGAATGCTGACAGTGCCACAAAACCGCGCTCAAATTCATCAAAAACGGGCCTTGTTCAGCTTTCCCTGAATTCAGGGAAGCCTGAACAAGCCTCAAAGGACGCTCAAAAGCTCCGAATTGGTGGGCCGGGAGCACCCCATGTACAGATGAGCGTGAAGTGCGGGCTCTCCACGTCATAGAGCCAAACCCGCCCTCTCAGGGTCAGTCCTTGAACCGACGCATACGTAATCGCGCTGCAAAGCCGAGTGTGCTTCAGCAGCTCCGGGACCGCAAAACACTGCCCTTTTCATAATCGGATTTTCAAACATATGCAAAGGAAAAAGGACTCAAAGT